ATCCTGCCCCCAGCCAGTCTCCCACAGAGGTTCCTTACAGGGGCTGTGCTCGGCTGCAGGCAAAAGGACAATCCAGGAGGGATGCTGCCACCAGCAAGCAGCAGGCTGCCTGGTTCCCTGAGAGAAGAGGGCCTTGGGCCCAGCTTTCAGAAGTTTACTGGTATCTCCCAGTCAGCTGAGGATTCACAGAAGCCAGCTCCCTGGGGGCTGTAACCTTATCATTCCCGCTGCAGCTGCATAGATGACCACCTTCCCGTCACAGTCAGGGAGGGAGTGCTGCTGATACGGATAGCTGAAGAGACTGCTCCTTTTAGGCTGCCATTGAGGATTCTAGTATGGTCTATGTGTATGTCCCTGCTAAGCCCAGTGCAGACACCAGAAAGTGCTGGCCAAAATAACAGCCACAGCATTGAAGGGTACCCTGAGGCCTCATTGCACTTTATCCCTTGTTCTAGCTAATGGTCATATGTGTGAGCCCCACTTTGGAGAAGGTAATCACAAAAAAGGAGAGAAACTCCCCATAAAAACTGCACAAGCAGTTAGCACTAGCACTGACCCTGGAGGCCTAAGGCCATGAATGGGAAGCTATTTCTGGCCACGATTTAAATCCATATGGCCCTCAGGCTAGAACTGTTTTCCCAACCCTTGGAGCAGGTCCATCTGGCAGTTTATGACTGTGGGATCTCTCAGGTGAAAAACCACAATGTCAATAGTTCTGGAGTTACTACCACCCTAGCTGCCTGCCTGTGGTGTCAAAGGTGCTGGTTAACCAGCAGTAGTCAGGACAGACGGATCTCTCTTCAAATGTGTACATTTGAGCAAAATAAAAACAGACGAAGACAGCTGAGACAGACACAGTACAAACAAGTCGCCAATGTGGCGGCGAGTACAAAGGTGGCCTGTCCGTGGGCCGTGCTGGGTGCGCAAGGCTGGGACTCAGGAACACTGACTGTTAAGGCCAGACATGGCGCCAGTGCACAGGAGGACTTTAAGCAAATCACTACCCTATCTGGGCCTCAGTTTCATGTTAACATGAAAGAGCAGAGCTAGATCTTCATAAACTTCTTCCCAGCTCTGATATGCCTTGACTGATTCAACAATAAATCAGTTGTTGGAAAACCCTAGAGAAGTCCATGGCAGTCATTTTTCCCCAGCAGAGACTTCCTCCATGCAGAATGTCCAGTCACAATGCTGGGGGAAGTGAGCAAGGTAGATAGGAGGTAGCCCCCATCAACCACCCTACCCCCTCTCTGCCATCCAAGGAGCCCCAAGTGAAACACAGGATGCCTTGGCTGGCCAATGCCCTTAAGTTCCTTGCATTCTGTCCCTCCTATGGGACAGAACCCCCCAAGAAGGGAAGCACCCAAGATTAGCAGCAAAGCTTCAGGTTCCTCACTGTGCTATTTTACATGTACAAGACTCGATGGAGTGGCTGGCAGACACAACCTCCAGTGATGGTTTGAATCTGAAACCTCCCCCACAGGGTCATGTTTTGAATGCCTGTTCCCCAGCTGGTGACACTATTTTGAGAAACACTGGGGCCCTTAGAAGATGAGGCCTGACCGGAAGAAGTATGCCCCCAAGTTCCTCTCTCTCTGTACCTCGCCTATAATGAAGTGATCAGTCCCTGATGTCACATACCCTGGGCTGCTTCACCATGCCTCCCCTGCCACAGTGTACTACAGACCTCTGAAACTATGAACCAGATGGATTTTTCATTCTTAAATTTTCTTGTCAGGCTTTATAGTCACGGCATCACAAAAGTAACCAAGCCCACCACCACCACCACCATGGAAGGAGTTTGGATTAGTTGTGGCATGTCAGGTCCCATGTCTAAGTGGGTGACTCTAGCTCAAGGCAAGGCCACAAATCTGTACTGAATTTGGTGGTCCAAGGCATTCTTTGAGGAGCCTGGGGCCCAGAGAGGTAAAGTGGTTGTGCAAATTTAAAGTTCATGAAGAGCCAGAACCAGGCCTGTCATTCAGGCTTCCAGGCCAATCTCAGGTCTCAAGGTCCTACACATACCTGCCTGCTTGTCTCTGCATCCATTCCCCATCACTCTCTCAGACTCCCTCTTCCTACCCACCGGGTGTGTGCTTCTCAGCTTCCCTCCCTTCAGATGCCCCACTTCAGCCTTTGAAAACCATGCCTCCTCCCATGCTCCCTACTCCTCTTCCCTCCCTCAGGTTAGTTTCCTAATCTCTCCCCTGTCTGACAGTGCCCTGCCTCCAAAGTCACGGGAGCCCTCCATCCCCTGTGTGTGTGTGTGTGTGTGTGTGTGTGTGTGTGTGTGTGTGTTTGTGTGCATGTGTAGTGTGTGTGATGTGTATGTTGTGTGTGTGGATGTTTGTGTGGTGTGTGTGTGTGTGTTGCATGTGCATGTTTGTGTGTATGTGCATTTTGAGTGTGTGCATGTTTGTATGTATGTGTTGTGTATGTGTGGTGTGTGTGTGTGATGTGTGTGTTGTGTGTGCATGTTTGTGTGTGTGTTGTGTGTGTGTGAGATGTGTTGCATGTGCATGTTTGTGTATGTTGTGTATGCATGTTGTGTGTTGTGTGTGATGTGTGTGTTGCATTGCAAGTTTGTGTGTGTGTTTTGTGTGGGGTTTTTGTGGGGGGGGCGCACGCACGTGGGCACGCGCGTATGTCCTTCTCTTCTGAAGGACACTAGTCACTGGATTCATGCCCACCCTAACTCCAGGGTAATCACATCTTAAGAACTTTAATTATATCTACATGGACTATTTTCAAATACAGTCTCATCCACTGTTAGGAAGAGTCTGAACTTGGACATATCTTTTGGGGCAGTATCCCACCTCTCACAGGTCTCTCACTTCTGGCCCCTTTATTTTACTCTCCTTCTTTCTTTTCTCTTCCCTTCCTTTTCTTCTCTCCTCCCTTCTCTGTCCCTTTCATGTTAGCCTTCTCCTTCTCTGCATCTCCTGGAATCAAAGACAGCTGTCTTTCCCTGGACATCTGGAGATGGACCCTGTGACCAAGGACCACCATGTCTTTCATTACTTTATGACTGTTAGCTTTGGCTGATTAACAAGTGAACCCAGGGACTCCCATCAAAGCAGACAGTAGAAGGCAGGAAGACTCTATGTTTGTGATTTTGTACAGCTGTGACAGAACATGAACAGCTTATTGGAAGCTTGTTTGGGCTCACAGTCTCAAAGGATTTCATCCATGGTCACCTGGCCCCATACACTTGGGCATAACACCATAATGGGAGTGTGGAATGAAGAGGTTGTTCACCTCATGGCAGGAAGTAGAGGAAGAGGAGGGACTTAGAACCCTGTATACTCTTCAAAGGCAACAAATCCAGTGACCTACTTCCTCTGGCTAGCTCCCCCCCCCCAAAGTTACAACAACTTCTCAAAGTAACAAGGAGCATAGCAGATACAGTGTTGGATGCTGGTACTTCCTCCAAGGGGCACATGGTTTTGTCTCCCTCCATTGGATCCCATGGATCCCACCTCTATATCCCCACTACCAGAGCCACAGACTAACTTTAAAAAGGAAAGGTTTTAATTTTGGTTCAGTTTCCTGGGCTTCAGGCTACAATGTATTGGCCCCATCTGGGGCTATGGTGGCATATCAGAGCAGAGGCATATGGCAGACCAAACCATGCTCCTCATAACCAGGAAGCAAAAGTGAGAGAGAGGAAGAGCTGAGGTCTCCCCCTACCATTCAAGAGCACAGCTCCAGTGAGCTGAATACCTACTGGTCACTGCTTCCTAGAGCTTTCAGAACTTCACAAGACCATGGGCTGGAGATCCAAGCAAATGAGCTTGTGGGTCTGGATGCAAACTGTAGCAGAAGCCACCTCCCTCCTGAAGAAGACTCCCAAGGGAGGCAATGGTTCGTTTGAAATCTCTAAACTAAGAAAGGGAGAAAGCATCCCAGGAGGCCGGATAAGGCCTGAGGGCTGGAAGTAGGCCATCCCACAATGGGTCTGGTAAGCTAGCAGGGGTAGGATAGTGTTACTTTGTATTCCAACAGGAATGAGCAATCATTTTGGAGTTTAATGCTGGAAAATGTGCATGGTCAATATCAATGAGAACTCTTTGATTATAATTGACAAAAAAAAAATGTCTCCAGAGAGCTAAAATGGAGAGAGAGGTATGTGTAGCCTTGAAGAAAACTAAACATTCTTCCACACTGGCCATGGAAAGGCCAAGACCTAAAGCCAGCTGAGTTCACGATGGGAGCCCAACCCTGACACTACCTAGGCTCTCTAGGTACTTCTATGTCTCTTGGCTCTTTCTCACTGCAAACCAGCACCCTCCAAACCACTTCCAACAGCTTCCAGAATGGCATCCTCCTGCAGTGACAGACCCAAGTCTAAAAGCCCCAACCTCGATAAAATAGCCACCTCAAACCAATCAGGTGAGGCCAGAGGCTGTGGCTGGTGGAAATGCATGTGTTTAGACATAGAATGGAGTCCTTTCCTTATGGATTGTCCTTCATCACATTGCTCCACGCTAGGGTAATGACTTCTTGTCTTAAGGCTCTTGTGAGTCCTCACAGGTCACTTACAGTCTCCAGTATAGAAGTTTCAAATTTCTTTAAAAGAGTATATTCCTATAGAAATTTTATCTAAATATTCCTGGAAAGGGGACAGTTGTTGGTCATTTATTGGTCAAGAACAGCTCATCCCTCTGTTTGCAGAGCCATGTGACTCCGGGTCTGTCTAACCTGCTCACTGAGCAATCAGGCTGGATTTTAGTAGAAAGGACCATTAGATTCTTCCTCTGATATTGGCAGGAAGGATAACAAAATATGGATTCCTTCTTGGAACAAAAACAAGTTCTAAGGCACTTTCTGTGTCATGCACTCTGGCTACACAGCTTGGGTTGTTCCCTGTCACAAGGTTGGGAAAGGCCCACGATGTGTGGGGGTGGCATCTGAAATGTACATTCACACATATGTGCCTTCTCAGCAAGAGAAAGGGGCATTGCTATTGAGCTGTGACAACACATAAAACTTACCTGTCACTCTGTCCCTGAAACCGGTGTCTTGGGGTTCATCTCACCAAACCTACGAATGTCGTGACAGTTGGTCACTGTGATTGAGCAGAAATGAGAGCTTGGCGAAGGACGTCAGACCCCACATCGGGGAATGGTGAGCTCTGCACAAGGAGGGCTGCAGAGAGGAGATGACCATGAGATGACGCAGCAGGGAGAAAGAAGACAGCAGCCTGCACAGCAGTCACAGCAACAGAAGAAAGTGTGTTTGCTGCAGGGAACAGCAGAATCCAGTGTGACTCCCATCTAAATATCACCACATGGGAGACAAGAGCCTCTGGCCTTTAAGGATGTACAATCAGCATTTTTAAAAGCCATATTTGGAGACCGTAGCTTCCACTGAGGTAGAAGAACACAGCTGCCTTGGATAGGGCACCCAATGAGTCCCACACACTTCAGTAGGGGACAACTGCCTTAACAGAGAAAAAAGATGGAGATGAAAACCATGGGGAGCATGTGTGTATCTAGATGCAGGTATGCATATGCATATACTGTTGTATGTGTGGCGTGGTGTGTGTGTCGGTGTATGTTATATGTATGTGTATGTTGTATGTGTATTATGTTTGCATATGTATGGTGAAGTGTAGTGGTATGGTGTATGTGATATATCTGTGTGATGTATATGATATGTGTGTGTCTGGTGTGTGTGTGTAAGAGGTATGTGTATATATGTGTATGTTTAAAGTGTGTGTGGTGTATATATGGTACATATGTAGAGTGTATATATGTGTATGCAAGGTATGTGCACTATATATGTGTGTATGTTGTACATGTAGGTATGTTATATTGTATATATGTGTATGTGGTGTGTGTGTGGTATGTATCTGTGTGTGAACACATCTGCTGAATCCCTGCATATAAAGTGTCGTGAAAGGGGAGAGGAGCAGCTGCGTGCTGCCCAGGTCTCACTACAGTTGTCAGCACACCCAGCCCTGGGGCTTCTCCAGGGCTTCTTCCCTTTGTCTTGTGCTGTCATCTTTCTTCTCGTCCCTTTCCACTCTGCTCTTTTCTTTCTGTTGTCCACTTAACCAAAAAATTGTGTTATTGCAAAAAATAGAAATATAGATTAAAATCTACAAGAAAATGTAACTAGAGTGCCTCCATCTAGCTGTCCAGCTGTGCTGTCGTTACTTTGACAGGTGACAGACACTGAGACAGAATTTTGAATATGACAGCTGCTTGCTGCAAAGTGAAACTTGGCACTCACTTCTTTTCAATTCTGTTGTGTGTTTCTGGGAGATTCACAGCAAACCTGGAAGGGAAGGAAACATTTGCTGGACTTGTGCTTTGAGGCATGGGTAAGAGCTTGCTAGGCAAAGGAGGACAAAGTATTACAGACATGGGGAGCACTAAGAAAGCACCTGGAGGGTGGAAGGTTGTGGACAACTCAGGGGAATCCCAAGGTGGTCAGGTATGGCTGCAATCCTGGGACTGAGGAGGGCAAGAGGAGCTGTTGGTGGAAAAGTATGATGGTAAGAGCCTGTTTCCAGGCTGAAGAGCTAATCAATCCTCTGGGTACAAACAGAGCTATATCCCTTGACTGATTTGAGAGAAGAGGCCAGTGTAGAACAGCACTAGGGAATCTCCTGGCTGAATCCCTCCTTCATGTGTCAGGGATTTCTAGCCCACAGCAGGCTACAAATGGTCCCAAGATCTCCTTGATAAACCTGTTTCCTCAGTGACAAAGACAGACCTATTCCCAGAGGCTTCCCCCAGTGGAAATGTGCCCCTGGGCCTTTAGCTGCACAGCCAGGGACAATTAGCAGACCACAGAAAAGGAGCAATCAGGGGAGGGAGTTGAGTGCAGAGAAACACCGGTTTATAATTAGGTGGCCTAATCACCTGCATAAATTGTGTATTTCTTATGATCGATGTGCTAAATGGCTCAGTTTTAATTAAGTTCTGCTGACTCGTTCTCTTTGAAGACTCACTGATGTGTGATTCACAGCTCCCAGAATTAACAATGGCCAGAAGAGTCACTTGAAAGAGGTAGCAGTCCAGGCTGCCTTCATCCGCCTCTCCTGCCGCCAGGTGCTCTTGTCCATCTCAGAAGATGGAGTTGCTGGGCTGAGCTTGCTGACTTCTTTGACAAGAACCTGGGCTGGACCAGGAACCTAAGGATTGTTTCACTCTCTACCTAGCAACCCTTCCTGGTTGCAAATATGGGCCTGATGATCCCTAATCCTCTCTGAGCAGGAATACAAAACACCCTGGCCTTTGCTTCTATGAAGGAACCCATCCTGGGCCTGGAACAGCTTCCCCAGTGGGCTCAGATTTTCAATACCTTGTGAAGAAATCCCTGAGGTCCCAAAGGTATATAGGCTGCATCATATTCCAGCTTCTCCTCCATCCACAATCTGTTCTTCTTCTGGAACCTGCTTCTGGCTCTTGTGACCCATTATGATCTATCACCTTACCTTCCTGGCCTCTAGCAAGCTCTAACAGCACATGATGGGAAAGTTAAAGCATTGATCTCCATCCTTCCTGAACTGTCCCCTTGGACACTGCACTTGCCTCTCCCTCCCTGCCCTGTAGTCCATGATGAAGTTGACTCCCAGGAACCCCCAAAGAATTTCAACATAATCCCCACTGCTGACATCTCCCTCCTTCCCAGGCACAGGCAGAGAGGCAAGTATAGCAAAGTCTATACTTCAGATTCTGCTGAGGCCATCAAAGTTGGCAGCACGCCTATCTCATACTTCCTTTCCTGGAGATTAGTGACAATTAAATGATATTGTAATGGAGAAACACACAAAGTTTGGCCCAGAACGTGATTCTTCCAAGAATCCAGCAGACAGCCCAATGAGAAAGAGCTGTCTAAAAGAACATTCCACAGTGGTGGCTGGTTCTACAGCCTCACAGTCCAACACGGCAGCCCCTCACCACACGTGGCTGCCCTGTGATGGCTAATGTGGCTGAGGAGCTGAATTTTCTATTTTACTTCATTTCAATAGCCACTTAGATCTGGCAGCTGCTATTTTGAACAACACATTTTTTACCTCCCTGCATGATATCCAGCCTCAGGTCCTAAATTATTTCCCTGACTCTAGGGTTCAAGTCTGTCTGTCTGTCCCCAAAATGGACTTGGCCTTGGTTGGGAGACCAAGTCACTGGGAGTGACCTCAGCTTTGGAGTTCTCTCACTGTCTCTTACATCTCTCTGGTTTGTTCCCAAGAAGGGAATATAATAAGAATCAGCATTAGAAGGAGAAAGAATATGATCAAAATATGCTATTTGTAAAAAAAAATTCTTTATAAGAAAAAAATCACAATAAATTTAAGGGCAAAAAATAACATAAAGTCATTATCAAAAGGAAATAATCAGCATTGACTACTGATTACCAAGAACCCACAGCCAGTCCTGGGGAAGGGCCTTGGCATCTTGAGCCAAGCAGGCTGGTCCACTTGGAGCTCTCTCTAGGCATTGGCTGGTTGGTTAGTCTAAGATCCACTCCTGCCTTCCAGGGGTAATCCAGAAAGAAGGCTGCGGACAAATATGAGCTGCCTTCCCAGAGTGCTTATGTCCTCCAAGCATGAGTGTGATCTTCCCTGGACAGAGAGACTCATCTGAAAGTGAAGGCAATTTGGGCTGAGAGTGTGTGCTTTAAGACTACTACAACTTTATCTCCAGAAGCCTTGGTCAGAAAACAAACCACAGTCTGGTCATCCCACCAGCAACCACTGTTGCTTGGCTCCATGTGGGGCTAAAGCACAATGCTGGCTGAGTCTCCCATTTTGAAATAGCTCCCTGGGAGTGGCAAGTGCACAGAATACTTTTCTTTTTGCATGATTGGTGTATGTGTGTAGTCAGATTGGGGGGGGGCACCAGCACACAAATAATAACATGGAGGCTTAGCCTTAACTTAGACTTGTTTTTAACTAACTCTTATACCTTAAATTAACCCAACTATTAATCTATATTCTGTCACATACTGCCCATCCTGCTTCCTCCATGTCTCCTCATGTCTCTCTCTCATGTGACTAGATTCCTCCTCCTCTTCTTGCCTGAAAGTCCTGCCTATACCTCCTGCCTAGCTATTGACCATTCAGCTATTTACACCAATTTACACCAATTACACCAATCACAGCAATACACCTTCACATAGTGTACAAATATCCCACAACGTGTGTGTGTGTGTGTGTGTGTGTGTGTGTGTGTGTAAATGTCCATGTGGGTGCCCTTGGAGGCCAGAAGGTGAGTCAGATCCCTTGGAGCTGGAGTTACAGGCATTTGTGAGCTGTCCAATGTGAGTTCTGGAATCTGAACTCTGTTCCTCCAATAGAACAGTAATTGGTATTAACCATTAAGCCACCCCTCCACCCCCAACAACTACTTTTCTATCTGCCACACAGACATAGAGGTATCTGTTCCTTTGGTATATGCCCATCATTATGAGAATAGTGAATCATAGACACTAATAGTACCACTTCATTTCTCTATATACAAACGCTTTCTAATTGCTCATCTTTTCAAACATTTGCTTAGTTAGATACTATCACTGGTTTGCTCTATCATCTAAAAGAACAGTTTGTACATAGACAGTAGGTATTAACTATTATGAAATTGTTAGGAATGTCTAACTTTTTAATTGTCACTACAAGATATTATTTCTATGATATTTTGTAGACAAAAATAATTACTTTGGGCCTTTTCTATGTTGAGGCCCATCAGTTGATGTCTGTCCTTGGACCCTATGTACCCAAAGACAAGTAAAGGTCAAAGAATAAAATATTTAAATCTTTTAAGACTGAATTTATGTCCCAAAGAGTCTGTAAAAATTAGAATTATGACAAAGGAAGTGATCAGTCCATCAGAGACCTATGAGCTTGTTGCAGCAAAACACCTATGGGATATGCTACAAACCAGGCAGTTGAGCAGTGTGAATGAGGCTGGGTACATAGGTTGGCAGTAACGGTGGTAGAGCTATGCCAGTGTGAGTGCCCACCATGGTTACACAGAGGGCTGTGCCTGGAGGGAAGTCTCACAAGTAGAGCTAAATACATAGGGCCACTCTCTTGAACTCCTTAGTAATTTCAGGTTAGAATTTATGTTTTAGAAGGAGTCCAGTGAGGAATTAAGCAAATGTGAGGATATCACCATAATGATGGGGAGCCTCCT